CCATTCGAGTGCACCGTGTGCCTTAGAAAGTTTACTAGAGCTTACAGCCTGCGTGTTCACATGCGGACCCACACTGGAGAGATGCCATTCGAGTGCACCGTGTGCCTTAGAAAGTTTTCTAGAGCTTACAGCCTGCGTGTTCACATGCGGACCCACACTGGAGAGATGCCATTCGAGTGCACCCATTGCAACAAGAGGTTCACTCAAGCTAATAGCCTGTGGAGACATCTGCGGACCCATACGGGAGAAAAACCATTCCAGTGCTCCCATTGCAGGAAGAGGTTCGCCAATTCTAATACCCTGCGGTATCATCTGCAAAAACTCACTGGAGAAAAACCATTCGAGTGCACCCACTGCAGCAAGAGGTTTCCCCAAGCCTGTCGCCTGCGGCATCATCTGCGAACTCACACGGGAGAAAAACCGTTCCGGTGTACCGTGTGTCACAGGGCGTTCAGCGATCCATCTGCTCAGCGGAGGCATGTGCGAACCCACCTCTAGAGATGCACAACACTTTGTGTCACTACAATATTAATACTTCTGAACCCTGTATTTGTGGAAAGCTTTCGAGTGCACAATGTTCGCGGTAATATAAACACTTCATGTAACACAAAAGATTATCAAACCAATACTTTGTAACAAAATCACTTTAAATATGAGAATGACTTTCTAAATAACTTATTTTAAACGTGTTAAAGAATTGTCATTGGAAATGTCTAAGTCACTTCATGTTTCGTTCGTTTTTTGTTTGTTTTTAAATATCCTTTTGGAGATGTAATTTTGTTTTTTTCCTCTGTGAGATCTATTTAAATTCCGAATTATGTCGTAAAAATTAAAGAGCACCCATTGCTGAGCGGTTTCTATTTCTTTCCACCTCTCCCCATTTTTTTTCTAAAGAACTCATTCTTGCCTCGTTGAAGTGGTACTGATGCCGGATCAAGGCGCGATAACGGGCTGCGGCGACGCATGCGGACACACCTGCACCTGCCTGCACCTCAAAGAGTGTATGAACGGGAACTCACACGCCTACAGGTAGCGTGCGACATTCATTCACACACTCGGGTTGGGTCGGGGCACCCGCTCCGCTCCACCCCCACTCGTTTAAATTACACGCGCACATTTCCGCCGGTCGCGGAAGCGCGTGTTGTGCATGTCGCAGCGGCGCGCGCCCCGGAACACTGCTGCCGCTGCTGCTGCAGCACTGCTCCCCGCCGCCACCAATCGACCTGCCCCCGCGCCGCGGCCGGCCTGTGTCCCCGCGGCCGGGCGGGGGCGGCGCTGCGTCGGGGAGGTAGGTGTATACACCAGATAAGATATCGCCAACTCAGCCGTCGATATTCGTGACCACTCACCCGCCGCTATAGCCCAGCAGGTGGGGGCTTTGGGACCGGCCGCCGCACCCACGTCTTTCTTATTGTCACGTGCTCGAAAACACTAGCTAGCTTGCTTCGCAAAGCGGTGCACAAATCATCGCAACCGTAGCTGCAGCAGGCTGCAACGACGGTTCGCCTGTTTTCCGGAAAAATTCGAAACTTTTCATCTATAATTTTAAGCAAACAAATCTGACATTAATTTTATAAATTCTTAATTTTTTTTTATCAAAAATGTTTATTTTTCTTTTTTTCTTCTGAAAGTTAAAAGGAGAAACAACGAATTGCGGAGGTCAGGCGCTTCCTTCACTCCCTTTTACATATGTCTCTGACAATAACGCTGCTGCCTCGAACGGAAGGAATCCCCGTGCGCGACAATGCTTTACTGCTGCTGCTCAGCTCATTTCTCATGGAGGAACACAACAAAACAAATGGACAGATGTTTTCTAAAACTGCATGTGGCGTGGCGATGAAATAATAAAAACACACACAACCCCCGCGCGCGCGCCAGCTGATCAATCGCGCCGCATGAGTCGGACAAGGCCCGCGCGCGATTCGCATTTCGCCCCGCAACCCCCACACCGGCGCATGATGGGCAGCCCGCGATAATAGCAATAGCAAATGATGGTAAAAATTCATTCATTCAACCCCACTCTGTAACGGTGGCGGTGTGGCAACCATGTGTCTCTGTGTGGCACTCGGACTGGGAAGCACGGCGCCGGCCTAGCCGCCTCGCGTGGGTCCAGCGCCCAGCTAAGCAGCCCGGGAGGTTGGGCCGCGCCCGCACCCGCGCGTCGGGAGGCCTGCCTACCCGCGCTCCGACAGGCGGCAGCGCTGCGGTCGGAGCGGAGCTGCCAACAGCTTTGCTACGGGCAGAAGGGCAATCTGAGAACTCACCCGAAGTTTTCTTTTTTTCTCTTCCGATATGCTAATCTTGCGGAGACAGTCCCCGAAATTTTTATGTTTCGTTTACCATTTTTGACGACCAAATCACGTAAGTTTTGGGGACTGTTGTATCCGAGATCAGCAGCAGAAGTCGAACACTCCGGGGAGTTCTTTCACTACTAACCTGCCTTGTTCCGACTCTTCTCCCTTTAGCTCTGTCCTGCCTCTGCAAGCTCAAAGCGCCTGGTGGGTAGGCAACATCTCGCCCGTAGTGCATGTGTGCACTGCGGGGCAGCCTACCCCGAGTCCCGCAGGCGCCGTGCTCCCGTGAATTGCGCTGAACGAATCTTATGAAAGTGGAGGTACTTTCTGGTCGTGGCCGAGACCCTCGGGGTGCGTCGGACTTAATGAACTACGTTCCATGTTTGCGTTCCGCACGACTTGCAACAGCGCGATTGGAAAATCCATACGCATCAGTGCCTCACCGCCGCTTCCACTTCCAAGTGCTAGCACGCCAGCACTTCGGGCGCCCATCTCTCCGATGACGGAGACCTAATGCTTTTACACGCTGTCAATCACACTTGAGACGTCAGCGTGGTCAGTCGAGTCGGGGGCGGCGGTAGAGGAGTTTGGTTGTCCTAATCGAGCGGGCCACACAGTGCGCCTTGCGCCTGATCGCTCCGTCCACCCCTCTCTGCAAGCAACAGATGTGGAGGGCGAGTCAGCGGCCCGGCGGTGCGGCCCGAGGCTGCGGTGGTCGCTGCGACCGCACCCGCCACAAAGAGTGTTTGCCAAACCAGCTAAACAACACTTTTGCTGTTATTTTTGTTTCTAGTTTTGGCAAAAGCTTTCTCGTTCGCAATGAAAGGTGTTTGCACCAGCACCAAAGTGTTTTGAAGCTGCTACTACTATAGCAAACTTTTACTAAAACAGCAAACTATAATTTGTTTTTGACTTTCAGCAACATTCTATTATTTTTATGCGTCCTCCCACACCACGGCGACGTTCACGACCTCACCACCGCCAAACACGCGGCGGACGGTGCAAAACCTACCCTCCTAGGCCACCACTCCGAGCGCGTGGGAGCTGCGGCCACCACCACCACCACCAGCCCGGGCCCGGCCGGCGTCGTCCGCGCACGCGCCAGAGGCGGCGGATGGGGAGTCTGCGGGGGCAGCTCCGGGGGCAGTAGTTCCGGGGGCAGCTCCGGGGGCAGCTCCGGGGGCAGTAGTTCCGGGGGCAGTTCCGGGGGCGACGGGCGGTCGAGCAGCTGCTGCCCGCGCCCGGCGAGCGGACCTCGAGGCGCACCTCCGCAGTCCAGGCCATGGTCTGACCCGCCCGGGCCCGCGGTGGTCGCGCCTGGAGCCCGCGGCCGCGCTTCGCGAGTATGACGCGGTGCGGCGCCGGCTTTGGGGCGCCACTTAACCTAATCGCTTTGGGCGGCCGCCCATTTCCCTTGTATTGGATTGTGTCGCCGACGGTGGCGGCGGCGGCGCGCTCTGGACGGCCGCATAAAGGCGCTGCCCCGCGTCGCCCCCGCCCTCTTCAGGTGGCGCCAAAGCGGGAACCAATCAAGGAGGCCCTAGTGATCGATGGGAAGCGCGCGCGCGCGCAGGACGGGAGACGAGCAAAGAGCGCTTTGGCAAACAGACAACGCGGCGCCGCAAAGCCTTTCACGAGCGAAGGGCACGCCACGCCGGGCCACCCATCACATCACGCTGCTTCGGGGCGGGACTGGACTCGCCAGCGGATAGAGGAGATAAGATTAAAACCGCGCACGGGAACGTCGCCCCCTCCCACCAATGCCACCGCGCCTGTCCTGTGCGCCCCGTCCAATGACGATTTCCTTCATGTTCCGTTCGCGCGAGTGATAACGTCAGTCAGTTTAATATTCGACACGTGGACGTGGCCCAGAATATGGCGGGGCAGCGCGCTCGTGCTCACCTCACTTCACCCCACTTTACTTCGCATTACTTCACCTCACCTTACTTCACCTCACCTTACCTACCTCACCTTCCTTGACATCACGTTCCTTTCACCTCACCTTACTTGACCTCATCTTACTTTCACCTCACCTTACTTCACCTCACTTTACCTCACCTCACTTTACCTCACCTCACAACTCACATTTCCTCTCCCCGCGTATGTCACGTACAAGTACTCGCGGCGGGTGCACGCACGTGGGACGCACTCCGTCAGTCACTAGCCAAACCCCGCCCCGCCCCGCCCGAGTATAGTCTTTGATAGCGCGCGCCGTCATATGACGCGGAGCAGCAGTGGACCCCGCGACGACAGCTCAATACTTGTTGGCGAGGCCTGATACGCCTCTCCCCTGCCACCTCCTCTACCCCCCCCCCCTCTCCGCACTCTCTCTCTCTCTCTCTGTCTCTCTCGCTCATTAGGCCGCTCGAGGTGCGACAGAGACAGCAGCGCGTGCCGCCGCGGCGCCGACACGAATTAATAATGACGACCCCAAGTAAGTAGTAGTCGATGTCAGCGGGACGCGCTGAGCTGCGTGAC